AATACATAAAGCAAGCATGTCTCCTCACGTACTGTTTTTGTCACTTTACCTCAGATAAGGACTTAAGCTCTCCCATTACTACCCTTTCCCCAGGTAAATTCTGGAACATATCGGAATCACTTTAGTATCCTGCCAGTTGTTCTTGAAGGTCAACAATGCTACAGATAACCTGTGATATGAAAATACTACGTGAAGCTTCTAGCTTTATGCTATTAAAATGTAATGTTTATGGATTCTCACCAGTTTTTAAACTCCAGTCAGCATGAAAATCAATAAATAAAAATTGTTGATTGATATGATCTGATGAAGTCCTACATTAGTTTGTTTAACAGTAAAGAATGTACAGGAATGATCATTTTCTATTCAAAATGCATATATTTACATGGACGGAAATAACAGTATCTATAATATGCTGTAGCTTTTTAACATAATGTTCATTGTACTCAACTAGTTATGGATGATCTCAGTACCTGCCTCTCTGCTGAGGCCTGATGCTTCAGTAGGATATAAAAGCCTCTGCCTTAAAAATTGCAGCTTTTTTTAGCTTGACTCTAATAGGAAGCATTAATGACTACTGTGAAGGTGAAGTTTGTTTTTATTTTTATAAAGAGAAAATTCAAAATACCTGGAATCTATGTAAAGTGTTTCATGGTGCATGAAGTTTTTTAGCATTGGTTCATTAATGCTGCAGAATGCACTCCATTTGTTGATTTGAAATTATTATCACACATAATGAACACCGGCCTGGTTGATTCTTAGCTCTTAAAACGAGAAATGGCTCAACGTAAAAGCCTTTTCTGGCTGCTCTGCACTTTAAGTTGGTTAGCCAGATATGTAGGTTAAGATACTAAGAATTTCCTTTTTGAATGACCTTTTCCATTTTGGAATTAATTCAGATCATTTTACAATCAGGCACATGTATTCTTTTCTTATAACATGGGAAATACTGTTCCTCACATCTTGTGTGAGAGCCCTTACAACACTGTGTTCCACAGAGCATTTTCATCTATGCTTTTAGACATTCTTACATATTCTGAGAAAAAATTGGTGTGCCTGTGGAGGTATCTTACCAATGATTCATTTTTTATTCTTCAATAAAATGAAAGAATCAATTAATTATAGTTTGTTTGTTTGTTTGTTTTTCCCTCTGGTGTTTACCTCTCTGGAGATCAGATTCTGTGACATCTGAGCACCTTTCAATGTCTTTTGAATTTGGGAGCAAAAATAGTTTCTTTATGCTATATATTTATATGAACTTAATATTGATTTCAGCCCAGCTTCACATAAAAGAAAATTCCAGTAGTGTCCCCACAAGTTCTTTGCAGGGAAAGAACATGTGCAGACATGTAGTGTAACTGGTGAAAAGCCTTTATTTTTTAGGAAGACAGATCAAAAAACTACAAAGCCTAAAATGTAGTTGGAGTAAATAATGTGCTAACCAGTACATGAGACTTCTGCATTTTAAGGTTGCATTAGTATGAATTAGTTGGATGCACCGTTAATAATAAATATGTTCTTTTTTGAAAGTAAGCCAATTGTTTGTACACTGATTCTTGGGTGATAAATAAATTAATATTATAACCTACTATAGGAGATTTGATCTCTCATTTTAGACTTGGTGGAAATTCTAGAGGGTGACTTAAACCCTAAATATCTGCCGGTCTTGCATCATACAATTAATGGTTTCAGGGAAAGCCTTTTGTAATGTGGGATTCTTAGTAATAATTTTGGATGTTCTGGCGCAGAGATAACAGAAAACTGTCAAACACTCATGTTTTGGGGAGCTTGACTTTTTGCCACATGGAGAGAAAGGATTTATGTTTATGCAAATAATGGGATTGAAATTCCCACATGGGCTTATATTCAGGGGGCAGCTGCTGCTTTTACTTATCATAAGCAAGAATAATTGGTGCTTTGGAACAGTACTTGCCTCACAGCTTGCCCCCAGATTGGGGAAGAGAGAAATCCCTGCCCTAATGTCTACTTAATTGCCTTCCTGTCTAAAGACATAGGTGCCTAAAAGGCTTGAACATAACTTTTAAATAAAATGAATAATCACAGGTAAATAATTTGCTAACCAAGTAAAGGACCAAATGATAAATAAATTCACAGATATGGTCAGGTGTCCCTTCTTGTCATATTGTTCTAATAATAGTATAGTTATGTACATAAACTAGGATCTAGAAACTTAGCTGACAATTTTCTGTGGGTTAGTTTTTCAAGAAGCAGTTTGAAAAAAATATTATGTGGAATAATTTAATTCCAATTGCTGTTAAATCTATTAAATGTGTTTCAGAGTGTTCATATAGCTCAGATTTTTTTATTTAGAGAGATGTGTCTTGAGTGTAATTTATTTTCCTGACTTCCATGGAGAAGGCTTAGTTCCTTGGATGCTAAGAGTATTTTGTTTCAGAGTTAATCTGAAGCAGGAGGGAGTTTGTACTGTGGTTTCTGACTAACTTTGTACCATAATAAGCCAAAGAAAAATATTTGAATATAAGGTTGCTGGAATAACACATGGAAGAAAAGGATGAGTCCTGTTTTATAGTCACTCCTTCCCCGCCCTCCCCCCTCCCCGGCATCTGCGACCAGCTGTAGTTCTGCAGACAGGATGCCAGCCCAGATGGACTTTTTCCTCCCAGTCACAATGGTGGTTTTTACCTTACCCCCTCTGGTGCTGCAGGGCTTTGATTCACGCTGGAATTCATTTGTATTTGCATGAACATAATTCACTTCATCATAGCTCTATTGTGAGCTTAAGAGTCCAATTGCATGGAGCTTCTTGCAAGATAAGAACTTCATTTTCAAGTTGTTAACAGTTTGAATAATGGTTTAATTAAATATTAACATCATTAGTGGGATGCAGGAAAGAGCTGTTTAATGTCAGACTGTAGGAGATGTTGAAGAGCACGAACACTGATAGTCTGTGTTTCAGGTTCAGCCTGTCGCCTGTGGTGCAGCAGTAGGTCTTTTACTTCGAAATTTCAGTCTTCCTTTTTCTGACAGGCTTTTTTAATAGCAACAATTAGGTATCATATTAATGTGATTATTTTCAAATACTGAATTACAAAAGCAGGAAATAAAAATAAATCCTGTTGATATATTCTTTTGTATACTCTTTGATATATTTGGTTACTTGGTTTTTGTCTTAGGAAATGTTTAAGTAGCAAATAGCTGAGATGCTTGAAGATCTTGGCTGAGATTTGCAGATTGCTGGAGCACTGGAGATTTGCAGAAGTGACTGGTGTGTCACTTCTTGGATGCTTCTCTTGATGTCTTCATAGGAACTGTTTGTTTTTGGTTTTTTTTTTTCATGTCGCTGCTTTATTCTTTGAGTGTTTGTTGTGTTTATGGTGTGTCTAGGTAGATGCTCCAAATGGCTGGTTATCTTAGAACTCTTACCTTTCACCTTCTGTCTTTGATGAAATATGTGAATGTTGAGCTCTTAATAGAAATCTTTAAGAAAAAACAATAGTGGTGTTGCTGTTCAGTAGGAGACATTCCAGTAAGTCTAATTTTGAGCAATGTAATTATTTTTTTCCTTTTTGTCCCTTTTGCTTTCTTTAAACAAGATCCTCAGTCACTGTAGAGTAAAATGAGATGTATTTAGATTTTCTTTTAATGTAAAAAAAAAAAAATCTTGTCAGCTTGGCCTCAGTGTTACAGTTAATAAATGCTGGAGGGGTTGTTGATGTTGTTGGCTGTGTCCCTCCTTTGGCTAGGCGCATTGGCAAGCTGCAGATGCCTTTGGCTGGACGGGAAGGATTGGCCATCTACTGCAACAGGCTTTTGTCTAAGTGGGTGCACCAACACCATTTAGATGCTAATGTGATATAAGCTCGGTGTTTTGTACTAGAACTTGACTACATCTCAGGAATGTGGCCTGTCTGGTTTTATGTTGGCTTCGGCATTCAAAGGGCCTACTGTAATTCATGTCTGCCAATCGATTAAAGCTGCAGTCTTCTGGTTTGTGGCTTTGATGTGCCAGAGGAAATTGTGGGGTTTGGTGGAGAGTTACATACTTCTTCTGGTTCTCCCAGATCTTACCTGCTGATCTCTATGCTTTTTGTTTGCTATCTACGATTGGGGAATAAAGTGAATTTGCTCTGTGAAGCCACATATGACATTAGTTTTACTGACAGAGCTGAACCTTTTTTTTTTTTCCTGTTCATGTCTGTTATGTAGTGAGGTAACTAAATGCTGTATCATTCCTTTCTGCTTTTCTTGCAGATATAAAGTGGAGTGTGTTTCTGTATTTTTACTGGAGATGTGACAGTTTTCTGTCGTTAGGCTATTTTCTGGTTCAGTGCAATCCATATTGTGGTTCATGTTTTATGGGCGGTGAATAAATGAATAACCTAGGTATAACAGAGACACGTTACAATAAATTTAAGTTCCAGTCACTGCATCTTAGCAGCAGTTTGCTATATTTTGTGCAGAAAAAAATGATGTGTGTATGGTGCAAACACGAATTTAAAAAGTAGCCCTAGGAATAAGGTTTTTGTAGGTCTGTTTTGTACATGAACACAGTACTCATCAGATTTTCTGTGCTGCACTCTCTAAATATTCTTGTAAAAGAAAACAGTAACTGTTTGTTTATTTTGTTTTCTGAAAACACATACGTTCTTTAAGATTTTTTTTTTTTTTTAAATGTGTTGAATGATGAGTTTCTTCAAGATTTCATGAGTATATTAGGTGAAACATGCACGGAGGTAGTACAGGGGAGGAAAACTAAATTTAGATGGCCTCAGCTAGCAATTACTTTAGCAGATAAAACAAAATATGCAAATATCTCCTGAGCACTCTAAGGCTGATCTTTCAGACAACTGACTGTCTGTATCCCTAGTCAAAAAAGGACATATGATAATTAGATTTTGAAGGACCATGTGCTGTTGCTACAGAGCTAAATATTAAAATGCAAGAAAGCAGACTACCACATGGCACAATTGATTTTTATAGCAGTTCATGTTAAAATGCTCTCTTTTTATATTGCCTTTTAGGTTACCTAGGGTGAAACAAAATTACAGGCTTGGAGACTCTGGAAAAGCTCAGCATCAGCCTTTGAGGTAAAAATGAACATACTGAAGTAATCTTGGGAGTGTCCTTCTTGTTAACTTTATGGAACTGATTGGAGTAGAAATTTTCATCAAGATCTATTTTGCATTTAAGTTTTCAGTACTGATTTAAAAAAAAGACCTTTTTAGGGTCTGGGAAAACTCATACTTTAGGTGAATATATAATGTAATTTTTTTTATTTTACAGCTTTGAGAACATTGTAGATCTGCTTAAATACAGTATTTTTGTTTTAAGTTTTAGTTTTATAGAAATATCTATGAAATTCTTTGTCAAGTCTTTCCAGATTTTGCTTATATAGCTAAATGTGGTTTTATGCAAATCTCCATCTTAATTGCACAATATTTTTACTTTTATTAAAAAACGCATGGATTAATGTACTTAGGAATAAGTGATTGTTGATTTTTCTTGAGTTTACGGTATTAACTGTGGCTTCAAATTGAAATACTCTAAAGGAATTTGAATTCTGATTTTATTTTTTTTATAACGTTTATCTGAAGTGAAATGAAAACACATGCACATGTATAAAAGCAGTGCAATTATACAGAACATAATAAAATTATGTAGAACATACTGCTACTGCATTTCTCACATGAACCACATATTAATATTAATCATAGTAACCTGTAAGTAGGATTAGGGAAGTATGTATTCCTTGCACATTTAAACTACCAAAAAATAGCTTTTAAATCACTCTTTTAAATTTTTATTTCTAATAAGTTCTAAAATAATTCATGTTCAGCATGGACTTAAATAGATCATTTTCTGCCAGCAAGTCATAGTGTAGGATTGACACATTTAAATGTTTATAAGCAACTGAATTGCCACAATAAACCCTGCTATTGTAGTTTCCCTTTCAAACCATTTTTATAGTTCATAGGTTTTGTTGTTGTTGTTTTTAAGAGCCGAAGCTTGCAAATTATGTGATTAATCTACAAGCTGATATCATGATGTCAAAATGCGATTCAGGAAGAATAAGTACAGAGATTGCGGAAATTAAAACGGTAAGACTCTGCTTTATGTGGGGGAAGCAGGTTTTTATGTGTCACATCACTGTATTCTCCTGTTTTATATTTAAAGCTTCTTCAGGACCTTAGAGTAAAGTAACTTCCATATGTGAGGTTATAGACATTTACTGTGAATTTCTTTGGAGAGAATATTGAAAGTAGCTACTTTATTTTATCCACAGATAGTTAGCTATAACAATGGCATAAATAAAAAAAAAAGTTTGTCATGAAACACATGCTTTGATATTTCAAATGAAGCTGAATATGATTAGAAATACAGTTATTTTTTAAGAGGATGTGTGTGTTTAAATATTTCTTGTGGATTTTATATTCAAATGTGGTTGTGTTGGTGAAATGTGATCAATTTAAAAAAAAGAAAGAAAGAAAAAGTGGGAATCGGGTAGATACTAAGAGTTAGAATTAAAATTGAATTTATATGTTGCACGTAGAAGCTACAAAGTAAGTGGTGAGGAAGAGAAATGACAGGTAAATTGTTACGGCCTTCGTTTCAATAGTACGCTTCAGTTTGTATTATGAGTTCAGCAAAAATGGGAAAAGGGCTTATCTGATTAAAGATAGAAGAAAAATTGACATATAGTTAAACAGATTTCTGTTTTCTTGATGTTATCAAGTTTCACTGGTCATCACCTTGCCCTGCATCTTAGGTGCCATACACTTCAAGTTTTACCTTAGTTCTGTGTGTTAAGGAGGGAGTAGAGGAGGAATCTGCAGAGCACCAGTTCTGCACCACTGGTTAAGCAGCTGCGTAGTTAGGACTGTTGCACGGGGCCTTGGCACGTTATTTTAGAAAATGAAATAGTTTGTTCCAGAATCTGGCTGTGTGTCTGTATTTGTTACAGGAAAAACCATCCTTTTTCTAAACTTGCATTGGGAATGCTTTATGTACTGATGTCACTATACCTGTGCTAGAAAACTGATTTTTGTTTTCACATTTTATTTCTGTACTGGTAAATGCCCTACAGCCCATATATGTTGTGCTGATAGATAGTGGTATAATCCTTTTGCTTTAGAGACACTTATAACATACAGCAGCATAACTTTGTTGGTGTGAACTGTGCCTTGCTGACTAATTGCAACAGAAAGTGTTTATTAGGCTTTTGCCTCAAATCCAGGTTTGCTCATGCTGGTGACTGAACACTACATGAAGAATTTAAGGCATTGTGGGTTGTTTTTTTTTCCTGAGTCTGCTAAGTGTCATGTTGTACTCCATTTCTCTCCTATAGACATTTAGGAGGAGTCTGTCAGGAATTCCAGCTTCTAGCTGATAGCTATGTACTATATTGCTTGTAGAAATGCTTCAGACATCGCTCATTCAAATGTAGAGCCTCAGTATAATCTTCATTTAAAAAGCTCTTTAATGAAATTTTCCTGAACAATGGAAAGCAGCCTTTGCTGCTTTGGTATGTCATGGTGTGCTGTTAGAGACCAACGTTCTGCTTGTGCTGTTAGACTGGTTCTGTATCAGAAAAATAGAACAAATAAAGTTATTCTAGTTCAAGATAGACATTCACAATGAAAATTGATGGTTGTGCTGTGGAAACCAGGGAAGCTGGTTCTTATAGGAATGCTCACATTTGAGCTTTGTAAGCATTGATGTATTCTGTTTGCCCTTCTTGAAAGGGAACGGATCTGAAATACAGTTTTGGGTTTGGTTTTTTTTCCCCCCTTTAAGAGTATTATAAGACCAGGTGTAAAAACTACTGTTAGGCAATGCATGGTGTGAAGGTCTTTGAAGAATTACAGATAGGGAGTGTCTCATGCAGCTGTGTTGTATGTTAAAGGTAGCACAATATAAAAGAGATTTCTGATTCATCTCATTGAATAAGGTTGTTTAACAGTATTTCCTTACTTCAGACCTTCTGGGCCAAATTATGCCATTTAGAAACTTTGACTTTTGAGTTGGGAGCAGAAATCTTGATGCTTAATTTTCAGAGTGTCCTAGATATTGGTTGCTAAATTAAGGGGGAAAAACCCCTTTTCCCATGAAAATGAAACTTTCACTTGTTTCTGAGATGTTTGAGTTTTGGGTTTTTTCATCCAAATACACTTTTGTAATACTTTTGGACTATCACAGAAAAGTCAAATCCTTTTGAAAAAAAGTGTACTTTTAAATGCAGTTTTAGAAACCAGATGATGTAAGAATCTTGTGTGTTGACCTTCTCTTCACTGGGTATCAACAGTTGTTGCCACTGAATGCTTATATTGTAAGTAGTCACTTTACTGCAGCTTCTGCAGTAGTATGTATAGAACATCCTCAGTGTCAGTGAATATTTTACATTTTGTGAGTTAATATTTACATTCATTTTCTATGTGTGCTTTATATATGTAATATTTTACAGTTTTCTTTGTTTGTTCCTGCATTACTCAAGTAAGAATTTTCTGTTAGATCTTTCAGCGGGTTGTTTCATGTAGCACTCGACATAAAAATTACTATAAAGAACATGATATTCAGGCTCTTTAGGTGTTAGTGTAAGAGAATATTCAAGCAGCAAGATTCTTTTCATATATCTTGTATAGATTGTGGTTTATTTACTTTAGAGTAAGTGGATTTTTTTTTTCCTACCCCCTGAGGCTAACTTTTTTTTTTTTGGCTGATGCTGAGTGTGGTTTTAGAGAGTAAATTAGACATTCCTTGACAAACATGAAAACCTAAAGCATTAAAAATAATTTTTATATCTCAAAGATTATATTTGGTATAAGTTTACACATCAGTGTTAGCGAAGAAAGCAGATGAAATACATTTGTATGGCAGTAGTAAATTTTTGTTGTTAATAGGAGATAGTTGTAGTTTTGCATTAACTTGGTAGGAATATAGCACATCCTACGTATGCAAATAGTGGTAAAAACTTGAAAGATGCTTCCCCAGTCTCTTCTCTGTTTACTTCAGTGTGTCATTCTGTAAATGTTTTAAACAGTCCTTGGAGCAGGCTTAGAAGGATCCTGCTTTTTAAAAGGATCCTTAGATCCAGGATGTCTTCTTCCAGGTGAGTGCCCTACTTGATTTGGCTTGTTATTCCTTAATGTTTCCTTGAAATTCTTCTGTGCACCAAGGAACCACTTCAACTTGGGTATAGTCCCATGACTGAAAAACCTATACCACAGTTCCAGAGTTATTGTAGACTGGAAGAGACTGCTATTAAATGTTACTTGCTCTTTATTCCTAACCTTATGCCCTTCTGAAATAAAGTTCTTTAAGTGGTGGAACAAGGGGTTTGTTTTAGCTCTGCAGTTTACTGTCTGTTGACGTAAATGTGCATTAAAATAAGGACATTGAGTTGTGGATTTTGCTCTTAAATCTGTCAAGATTGATGGCCATAAAACTAGACCTTTCAGTATTATTTTAGTAGAACAGATAAACTTGGGCACTGTGCAGCTTTGTTGAGCTTCTGTAACCTCGTCTAAAGCCACAGAAAGGAGGACTTGTTTCCTGTGTTTCTCCCTCCAAATTTGGCTTCAGCAGGTTCTTACAGTTTCTTGTTCTGTCAGTTTTCCAAATAATGCAGTGTATAAAGTTTTCCAAATAATGCAGTGTATAAAGATGGAACATCTTAGCAGGTATCTTTGTTACTCACAGTGGCTGAGCAGGACTAGTTTGGTTTTTTTATCTGCTTCTCTGTTAGCTAGTTTCATTTAGCTAGGTTCAATTAACTTCTGTCCACAGATTCTGAACACGTATACTTACATCTCAAATGTTTTCAATTTAAAACCTGTTCTTCAAGTAGAGTCTTTTCCCTTTTTATTTCTAAATGGTCCTGTGCTTTTCTTTTATTGAAGAACTTGATATTTTTCCTTGCTGTTGAAATAGAGACTTAGAATGATACAATTGCTTCATTATTCTGGCTTACTCCTGTAATAACGTTGACATTGATCTTGCCAGATTTTACATACTTCCAATACAAATGAAGGCCAGGACTAGGAAACAAGCACAGCAGGAAGTAGCATTGATGGTTTAGGGAGAACTTTTTACCTGAGTTAGCATACATTAGGAGGGAATTTAAGCTATTTCAAGTGCGTTCTGCCTCATCTGAGCTTAACTCTATTGTTTTACTAATTATGCAGTTTATCATAGCTAAATTATCCTCTTTTTTTTTTTTTGTCATTGCAGGGTAATAATAGTGTGGTTAACAGCGGCAGACAATATTGTTTTGCTTGTGCTTACTTTTCAAGTTACAAATGTGCGTGTACTTCTTCCTTTGCACTTCAGAGAGGTTTTTTTGAGAATGCTTTTTGATCTTGATGAGGTGATTGTATTTTAGGGCAGGTCTTTCATGAGGATAGGCAGAAAGCAAAGTTGTAGTTTAGAGTATAAGTGGTTTCACAGCTCTTCCAGATCAAGCTGGAACCATACGTAAGTATAAAGCCCCTTGCTTCTTGCAGTGAGGTAGCTGACTTAGAATCACTGTCACGAAGTGTTTAGCAAAGGAGATATCCTTATTTGTGAATATTAGATCCTATGCTTGTTTTTTATTAGCAGCCTTTTACAATAAGGTTGGTTTTCTTTCCTTCATTCCCTCCTGGTGATTCAATATAGCTATTTTCTATGTTCCCAAAGGTGTACGTAGGATTTGTGAAAGAAAGACAAAATAGGTGGAATAGTAAACAAAGAGGAGGCACTGCTGATCTAATGTGATGTATAAAACTGAAGTGGCTGGGCTAAGATACAAGAATGATTGGGGATTCGGCTTTAGCTTTTATTATGGAAAAGGTTTGATTATTTTTTTTCTGGTCCCTTGTAGCCTTGAGCAATTATGATGGCTGTGACCAGGTCTCATTTTAAGCAAAGCAAACACGAATTGTGTTTCCACATGCATTGCTATATGTAAGAGGAGAAACGTGCTTCAACCATTTTAACACAATATTGTGGTAATGATAAAAGACTTCTGTGTTCCTCAAAGGATTTTTTTTGTATGGATTACCAACTAGCATAGTACTCATTGGAATATAAATAGAGAAGCTAGGTATATTAAGGGGGAGCTTAATCTATAAGTTTAGGGAGGGTCAGAGATGACAGACCTTTCCCTGTGTTTTCTCCCTTGTCTGCTCTTACACACCGAAGCTCTCAGTTCATACAAAAGCTTCACTTACGTTAGCAGTACCCAGAGTTTCCAGATGCTTTCTACAAGTAGCTGGCAAAGATTGTGTATCATGCTACTGTCCTTGCCAAATGACTGATTTGATTAGTCACATACTGATTAACGTCAGTACATTTGATGTGCAAATGTGCAGTAGATCAGAATACCAAAGATGATCATCTCTGCTATGTGCAACTGTGTCGCACGTGCAGATCTTTCCTGCTGGTTGTCTCCTGTGACCGAGAGCTGTGGAGTCCCAGTGGGGGAACACCCGGGAAGCCACTAGTTCAAAGAGGGATTGAATAAAAACATCTTTTGGTTGTGCCAGATTTGAATGCTCTCTGAAGTTACTAGTTGAATTATTAGAACAGAACCTGCAAGTTCTTGTATGTATTGTTTGAAGTATATAAAAGCAATTTTTAAATCTACTGGAGTCTTTTTGCATTATAACTGAAATGAATAATGGTGTATTAATGCTTTTATGATGTGCGTAGACTATGTTGTTTTCTGTTTGCAGCTACATAAACCAGTATTATATTGATCCATTTTATCTATTTAGATAATCTGAAAGACTTGGGCTGAAATTGTAGCTTAGGTTGCAGGACTAAAAAGTAAGTGAGAAGATTTGTATGAATTTGGAGATTCATTCAGAAGAAACTGGAAAAAAAAAAACCCAGCTGCAATGTCAAGAGCATTCTTTAATATATCCTGTGAAAATGTATATTCATTCCTTTAGTCTTCTCACTCTTAACAGTTTCTGTGAAGCTCAGATTAAAATATCAGACAAGATTCCAGCAATTATCAACACAGTTCTCCTAGTAAAGAAATGCTATTTCTGATGGAGGAGAAAGTACATTGATTGCTGAGCCAAAGACCAAGAGGTTATGTTTACCCTCTTTCACTAAGCAGCATTTGCTACTGAATGTCTTCAAAAGAGAAATAATTTTTTATAATGGATCAGAACAATATTACTTCAACTTAACCACACTGTCCTTCAAGATTCCCCCTTCCCTTTGGTAAAAACTGAGACAATGCTTTATCTATGACTACTTTCTATAAAGTGACATTCTGCATGAATCTGCAAGAGAAGTGATAATGTAATTCTATGTATTATCTTCTGTTTATTTTACAAGATATATCTGAGATGGAAAACTAGAGAGAATCGGTTTGGTCTGTTTTGTCAGAGCTTCCCGTAGTTATTTAATGTTAATTGACTTAGACTATAAATCAGTGTTTAGACATGGCCCAAGTTATAATATTCAGCTTGAAATGTGACTATACAACAAAGAGCTACAATGTTTTATTAGTTGAAGACTATGTTAAAGAAAATAAAATTTTATCTTGGTACAAAAATAAAGGAATACTTTTTTTTTTTTAAATTGCACTGCTTTATTTTTAACCGCTCAAGGCAGTTATTTCTCGTGACTGTTAATGGTTATTTTTTTCTATTAGATACCATATCATACTTTTCTCAGTTTTATCTTCTGTACATTTGTGAAACTTAACCAACTTTCCTGATATATAGAAAAGCAATGGCATTTCTGTGCAACAGGATGATAATTAGCTTTTCCTTCTGTATTTCTAATGAATGGTTAAATTTGAAAGCATTGTTGATTTTATGCATTTCTCATTTTGAGACTAATGCTAAAATGAATATAGAGCATCTAGGAATTTTGAGGAAAACTAACTTTTGAAAATATTGTTTTGTTGAATAGAGTACGTATCTGATTTGAAGGGAGGGAAAGTGTTCAAAATTTCTTAGATTTGATGCAGTATGCTTGTATTCTGTTTCAGCAATATTTTTCTATACTATCAGGCCTTAATCAGTTTCCCTGGGTAGAATTTATTCCCCCTCCCCCCCCCCATCATTCCTGACAGGTAGCAAGTAGCAAACATTTTTAAAAACTTCCAGTGATGGTTCGTAGTTGTCATCAAGTTGTGAATGGTTTGTTTATCACACTGGAGGTTTTTAAAAATGTTTGCTGTTTGCTATACCTGGTCTAGTGGAAGGTGTCCCTACTCATGGCAGGGGGGTTGGAACTAGGTGATCTTTAAGGTCCCTTCCAATCTAAACCATTCTATGATTCTATGATTGATTCTATGAACCTGATAAGGGTCCTTTTCTCCATTAGTCCTTATCAGAGTAATCAGCAATTATTTGTAATACTTCTGACAGTTTCTAAACAGATAAACTTATCATAGTCTGTTGATTTGAAGATACTGAGGTTCTCCTATAGTTCCTGTTCTTTTCCCACTGATTAGAATAAAGTTCCTGTTGCATGTGCGTTGGAAAGAAAAATGGAAAATGTTGTTATTTATGCCTGTATTCTAGAAAATCAATCTTTTTCTTTCTTGAAGTAAAGCTAAAACAACTAAATTTGGTCATAAAGATATTTTAAACAGGATTCTGTCAGAACATAAATGGAACTTTATTCTGAAATGTATGTATGTAAATCCAAATACCTAAAATGAACTTTGCCCCGTAAAGTACAGCTCCTTTTGAATTTCTTTAGCACTTTGATAAACACATAACTTAATTTTATAGGCACTTTTCCACTTAATAATTAACATTTTCTGTTGAAAATAGTATGAGATTTAGCACTTACTGAAAGTAAAATGATGTCCTTTTATTAGATTAATTTTTTTCTTCTTGCTTAATATTATGACTTTATCTAATACTGTTTATTTTTCTTCTCATAGTAAGCTGTGCTGGAACAAAAATGCAATGAAAGAAACACTGGATGAATGAGTGAAAAGCCCTGCTTTGCAATCCCTCAGCATGGCGGGACTGCAGCTCATGACCCCTGCTTCCTCCCCAATGGGTCCATTTTTTGGACTACCATGGCAACAAGAAGCAATTCATGATAATATTTACACGCCAAGAAAATATCAGGTACTAGTGATAATACAGTAATGTCAGAAAAAAAGTACAATTAAATCCATTTACTTAATAGAAAATGAACCAGAGCAGCTGGAGAACGTGCCATGTTGCACACAGTCGAGGCATGTGCCTCTCAGAGCTTCACCTGTTGGGAGATAATTGTTTCCCTTTTTCTTTAGCTTGACTGTGTTCTACATTTGTAACATCCCCCATTCCCTCTTCTCAGTTTGCTCTAACAAGCAGAACAGCTTTTACGCTGAGTATTCTCTTGCTACTCTATGCAAAATGCTGTTAGGGACAAACACAGTAAACATTACGCTGCACATCTCGATTGTACGCATACAATCATGTCTGCTTTCCCCTCTGACCTTCTGTCTTCTACATGGTAAATCTTGATTCGTTTGGTTCACATACTGGTCAAAGCAGCTCAGGAATGTCAGAAACCCCATCAAGGTGCTCTGATGTTCATTTTGTTAAGAAAACCTATTTCTGAGTTCGAGAATTTCAGTTCTCCTTGCACTGCAGAGATGCCTGAAAGCCAGTGTTCGGTTAGTGCTACTGAAAAGCTTAGATCGCCTTGAGGTGGTGTCCTTGCTTATTCGGCTGAATTGTTGTATATAGTTAGATTTAAAAGCTCAAGCTTCTTTCTTCACATGATGTATCTAGCAACAGAATCATCTATTAAAAAGATACAGTTAGAAAGCTACTTAAAATAGCAAATTGTGATACTACATGTATTTTAGATTTAGAAGGTAGACATATAGTGGTATTAATTTTTTTTTTTTTGAAAGACTGTGACAATACATTGTTATGAAAGAGACACATTCTATGGCACTGGAAAGATCTCTAGAGATACTAGTGACTTGTTTGTAGTTTATTTACCACTTGTGTAAATTTTTTCACTACATTGCTGCAAATAAGGACTTTATTATTTTTTTTAAACCTAGGTTGAACTGCTTGAAGCAGCTTTGGATCATAACACAATAGTCTGCTTAAACACTGGCTCAGGGAAGACTTTTATTGCAGTACTACTCACTAAAGAGCTGTCCTATCAGATCAGGGGAGATTTCAACAAAAATGGAAAAAGAACTGTGTTCTTGGTCAACTCAGGTAAGAGGAAAAGTATACTAAGTTCCTAAACATGCTGCTGATACTTCCGTGGATTATTCCTAAATAGAAGTTTTGTGAAAGCAAAGTTGGGAGAAACTTTTGCATAAAGCCTTCAACAGCAAGGATCCTAAACTGATTAAAGATTGTCATACCTTTCATCTTTTGCTTATAATCCATTTCATACAACCTGTTTATCTCCGACATCTTCTGTTTCCTGGTTTAAAATTAAGACATTGAATCTGAAGTGCAATTTAGTTACCAATCTGTTTCCTTGCTGTGATTTTTACATGGAGGCAGTTGCCCTGTACACCTGGTTTGACATTAGTCTAAGCTAAAGATCTTGTTGTGAAACACAGTGCTAGGTAATACAACACACATCTTGAAAATTAATGTGTGAAAAGACCTTTTTGTGATTGTGAATTTTTTTTTTTTTAATTTTTTATTAAGAAAATCAAGTTGCTCAACAAGTGTCAGCTGTCAGGACACATTCAGATCTTAAAGTGGGAGAGTATTCAAGTTTAGAGGTAACTGAGTCATGGACAAAAGAGAAGTGGAGTCAGGAATTTTCTAAGCATCAGGTAATGTATTAACTACAAATATAAGTGGTAAGTCAGGCTTGATCAGAAGTGTTAATTTCTTCCAGTTATACATTAACTTTTTTCTAACATAAATTCAGTATATTGATGTTATTTGTATATGAATTTTGAGGCAAAACATGTATAGGGCTTCTCAGTTTGTTTTTTAAAAAGCTGTCCATTTAATCCTTTGTTTTCAGTGTCACTGGCTTTTGTGGTTCATGGTGGTGATGATTACAGAAGAAATTCTGAGTGTGCATAGGGTAATTTAAATGCCATTAAAAGATGTTTAGGTAATAAAAAAGATGATAAAATTAAATGTTCTCTTGACCTAAGGCAGCTTGCACTTTATACTGACACTTCTTTTTTTCCACTTTCAATCTAGGTTCTGGTTATGACATGTCATGTTGCTTTGACTGTTTTGAGAAATGAATATTTATCCCTGTCAAATATTAATCTTCTGGTGTTTGATGAGTGCCATCTTGCAATCCAGGATCACCCATACCGTGAAATTATGAAGGTGGATTTCCAATATGTGAATGTTTTAATAATTGAGGAGGAGTCAGATGGGAGGGCTGGAGAAGTGGCAACTGTTTAAGACAGCTTTTGCTACCAAGGAAAAGTATCAGTGGAACCATATTTTAGCATGTTCTGGGACTATGAAATTGCTGTTATGAATGAAGACATCAGTGATGTTATGAGATAGAAGAATAGTGTATTTACTGTATTTTACAGTGGTGATTAAAGGAAAATCTGGCATTGAAAGAGGAGCTAAATGTATTAAATTAGGAGAATTTAGTAAATTAATTGGTAAAATATTTGAGAATGGGATTCACTGATCAGTTTTTATTATTTTTAAAATACTGATTTCTAGAGATGTTTGTAGGACTCTTTCAGGATATTCTTGGCTCTATGTAGTATTTGGCTTAGACAATACAAGGAACCCGTATAATAGATGTCTTTCCGAGTCTCTATTCAAGTTTAACCAGAGCATCTCTCTTGGTTTTTTCAGATGATACTTAGTTTTCATATAGTGTGGAAGTATTATGACATGGGTGTTGTAAATGTGGCATTGATGTTCCGTGCAGTACTGTTTATTTCTTTATATTTTCCCACATTGTAACTCTTTACTTTTAAAGATGATTGATGCTAAATGTTACTCAGTTTCTAGTCAGTAGAACAGACAATAATTAATTCAGTGTTTGATTCTTTTTCCAACACCTACTATTGAAATACTACTTTCCATCTAAGCATCTTAAGTTTGCAGTCTGTTAGCTTGATGGTAGATTTGCAGGATAATTGTCCTAAGGTATTTAATTCTGTTTTACTTCACAGATCTGTGAGGATTATCCATCATGTCCTCGAATCTTGGGATTAACAGCTTCCATTTTAAATGGGAAATGTGATCCTACTGAGTTAGAGGAGAAGATTCAGAAACTGGAGAAAATTTTAAAAAGCAATGCTGAAACTGCAACTGATTTGGTGGTCTTAGACAGGTATTGTGTACAATTAAAGCTGTTAATTCATGCCTGCATTTTAATTTTGGATAGAGGAATAAACGAGTAGAAATATTTCCTCTTTTAATTAGGAAAGTTTGTGTTTATGTGATGCTATTACTTCTATTTGGGGTGGGGAGGGAATGTTAAATTACTTTTTGAGTAACCAGTGTTGAAGTACATATTTCCTTAAAGTTCAGTCAAAGGCTGATTGGCCTTGATATTCAGAGATTTTTCTGTAATTGTTTAAAAAAACCCCACAAAACAAAACAACTAAAAAAACCCCACCAAAACAAAAAAAATAACCCAACAGCTACAACAAAAAACCCACACCACCAACCTAAAAATTTCTGAACTTGTGAAATGCACTGTTATGTTTGGAGAGTAACTGGTTCATGTTCAGTGTATGCCATAATGTTGCTGTTTAATTTAGAAAAATCTTGCAGAATCCACAGTACAAGATATCCTTAATGCCAGAAAAGTTGTGTGATTACTCTACACCGCCCCCCCCACCCCCACCCAATGAGTAGCCTGGGTTTAGGGGCTGATGAAAGACAGAGGGAGATGTCAGGAAGCAGTAAAAATATTGAAGTAGCAGAGCAAGAGGGTGTTTTCCTCTATGATCTTGCAGAATGTAGAATCCTGTGAATGATTTGTTGTAGATGAAAATCAGTGTGAAACGATTCATATGTAGCGTGTTTTCTTGCACCAGCTGTACTGTGTTGTATGAACTGAGGTTCAAAGTCAAAGATGGTTATTTCATGTTCTGGAACATGTGCTTTGTGGGTGTGGTTTTCTAAATACATTTTTCTGAACTTGTGTGAACCATTTGCTTTTAAGAATGTCTCACTCATACCTCTGCTGTTCAAGAAGAGCAATTACTCATGTAAATGTGTATATATAGAGCTAAATTAACATTATGTGGATTATATTTTTTTGGCATATCAAAAGAGTACACTTTGGAAAACCAAAAGTTAAGATGATGGCCAAGTGAATTCAATTTGCTTTGCCTTAAATTTTTCAATATTTGAAATGAAGATAGTGATATTAACCTCCTTTTTAGGGAGTATATTAGAAAGAGCAGTATTTTAGAATAAAGTATTTGGGGTAGTGGAGGTTTGTTTTTTGTTTTTTTTTTTTTTTACTTTAAAGTATTTAACTATTCATCATTACTGATTCATGTTGGGGAAAGAAATGTAGTTGAATACATTTGATGTTGCTGTTGTTATTACTGTATAACCTTAACAGACTGAAATAGCTCTGACTTTCAGAAGCTGTGTTTAACTTGATCTTTACCCTCAATTAAGATATACTTCTCAGCCATGTGAGATTGTTGTAGACTGTGGACCATATACTGACAAAAGTGGGTTGTATGGAAGATTATTAAAGGAATTGGATGAAGCACTTGCTTTTCTACATGACTGCAACATATCTGTACATTCAAAAGAAAGAGATTCTACCTTAATTTCTAAGCAGGTAAGGATATTAAGCTATGTGAAAAACCTGGAGAATAGAAACCTTACTGCTGTTTTGCTTTGCTATGTATGTTATATTACTGAAACTTTCTAAGCTAGCCATCCTAGATTTTCTGGGCAAAGATATTGCTGATTTTTGTACTCAATAACAGTGCTGGTCTTTTCATAAATGAGTGGGGCTTGGATGTCAGCCATTGATTAGAACTTCATCTAGTTTGAGATTCAAATTTGCTTAAAGCAATAAAATAATTCCACACCCTGATGTTGTGGGTCCGTATTTCTGAAGTCAAGAATTTGGCATCTTCATGATCTCTCATGACCTTTGAATAATTCAGTACAAAAGAGGAAATAATGCCTCAAGAAGTATTTGGAAAAACTGTACCCAGGTGTATTAAAGGATCATAAAATAAAAATTCATGCAAGAATTCCAGCCATAGATCTACAGTTTCTACAGTTTATCTTAGAACAATAACCAACTAGTGCCACACCTTGCAGGAGTTGCATTTGAACCTCAAGCTTGCCCCTAACTTTCTATGTGTTTGCTCCTCTGTTGTCATGGGAGATGATGGAGTCTAGAAGGTATGGTGTGTTGAGCAGGCGCCTGTCACGCACAGGGTCCAGGCAGGTTTTTTTTCCCCGTCTTGGACTTATTTTCCCTCTTTGGCATTGCCTCCTGAGGTGCAACTACATAGGTATGTAAGTCTTTGTTTAACAATAAGTCAGTAGTGAGTGACACTTCTATAATACTCTATGAGGAAGTTGGAGAATGTATTTCTTTCTTCAGCCGTAAGTATTCCAATTTCCTTTAACATTCTTAGAAACTCAGCACTCTAACACTGTCCAGAAAAAGATTATTTGGGCCAGAGGGAAGGATGATGTGTAAGGCAGCCTATCACAGCTCTGTGGGAAAAGGAAGTCCTGGTTACTTTTGTGCTAAACTTGAAATGTAGTAGGCTAAAATAGATAAGGAATGCTGGCAGCTGGCAGCAATTGCCAGGATTTGCATAGTCCAGAACAGTAGATTAACTGCTGTGCTTCTAATGCACGTAATCGTCTGTGCTTGTTTTCTGATCCAGTAGCTCTTCAAGAAGATGGAGACACCCATATTAAAAAAAACAATCAAATAGGTTTTCAGCCTGAGGTGCCTCTTGGCACTGGAGAACATCAGGCCTCTATGTGCAGTTACAATTGGTTTAGATAAATTTTGCCTTTAATTAAGCCTTATAGCTAACAGACTTCAGGGAGGATAGTGTAAAGAGAATAAACTGATAAACTGTTCTTTACTTCCTCACAGAAGGAAAGAAGGGAGAGAAATTAAAGCAGCAGCAGCAAACTGTATCATCTGGACTGCTGTTATAGTTTTGTTGTAGTTCTTCTGTTGTAATAGTACATCTAAATCCCGAGTCTTCTTAATGATATTGAGAACCATTAAGTACCCCATTTCTGGATTCCTGGTTTATTGTTTGACTGCTTTACTATTCAGGAAGAAAAAACCTTCCATCAGATAAGATGTTGGTACTCCAGTGCCTATGCTGAGCTCTCTGAGTAGGATATAGTTCTCTGTTTTTCCTGTTCCACCCACACATACAAACCCCTATTTTTTATTTTTTTTTTCCTTTGAGAGCCTAGACTTGCTAAGATTACCCTAAGGCTACTGTACAACTTTCTGGTTAGATACTTTTGATACCATGGCAAGTATTAGTAACAAATGCCCAGTAGCACATTTATTTTATTAGTTCTATGTTAAATATAAAGGATAATAATTTCTGCTTTGTTTATCTAGCTGCCTCAAGAACTACTCTCCTTTTTAGCATAATTATGCTAAGGTAAATTTCTAATTACAATTCCACTAAATTGTGAAATATTCTTTAAACTTGTTTTTTTGTACAGAAATGTACAAAGTTTAGTTGTAGTAATTTAGGGCGGAGGGGAAAACTTGCTCCATGAAAAACACCAGCATTCCCAAAGTCATCTGAATAACAAAAGCAGACTTCTAAATATTTTTATAATAGAATAATTGTCATAGTCCTTACAAAGGTTGTGCTATGTGAGAAACAAGATCCCAGTCTTAAATGGTGATTCTGTGAATAGTTCATGAATGTACTCTTTGAACTGATACTTGAATTCATTTGTTGTAGATATTGTCAGACTGTCGAGCTGTGTTGGTTGTTCTGGGACCCTGGTGTGCAGATAAGGTAGCTGGGATGATGGTGAGAGAGCTACAGAAGTATATCAAACACGAACAAGAGGAGCTGCACAGGAAATTTTTATTGTTTACAGACACTTTCCTAAGGAAAATACATGCACTCTGTGAAGAGCACTTCTCGCCTGCCTCACTTGACCTGAAATTTGTAACCCCAAAAGTAATAAAGCTGCTGGAAATCTTACGCAAATATAAACCATATGAACGGCAGCAGTTTGAAAGTGTTGAATGGTATAACAACAGGAATCAGGATAATTATGTGTCTTGGAGTGATTCTGAAGATGATGATGAGGATGAAGAAATTGAGGAGAAAGAGAAGCCAGAGACTAATTTCCCGTCTCCCTTTACTAATATTTTATGTGGAATTATTTTTGTGGAAAGAAGATATACAGCAGTTGTTCTAAATAGGTAAAGCTTTTTATTTTAAAAAATTACTTGAAAAAAGGCAAAAAGGCAGACTTAGCTGCCAGCACATGGATGCTAGTATCATGAATATGTAGGGCTTGTATTTTCAGAACTCTATTCTGAAGTTGGTTTAGGAGATCATACTGAATCTGTGATGAGAAGAGCATGTGTCTCTGAAAATTGTACTCAAGGGCTGGTTTTGGACCCAAGTTTGTGATTTGATTCCTTTAGAAGACAGAATGTTAAATACTGTACTTAACCTGTAAAATAGCCATATACTGATTTGTCTTAATCAGTTTTTAAATTTATATTTGTAATGGATGCTGGAAAACTCTTTAACTTACTGAGTGCAATACTTCTGGAAATTTTACCATTACCTTACTAAATCACATTATTTTATGATCCAAGTCTACAGAAAATCAAATTTGCCCTTGCACAAATATCTCTTAAGATTTACCAGTGCTACCTTAACAGTTGGTGTTTATAAAACGCCTATTCAGTCAAACACTAAGCACTTTCTTACAGTCTCCACCAAAAAAAATATGAGCTCTGGAATATTTGCCAATATATACTTTGCAGTGCTCTAGTTCCTTATCAGTTCTTGTTCCTGAATATGATCCATGTTAGTTATACATAACACTTGATTGTTAAATGCTGTTTCAACCATGCTATTGCATGTTGCTATTCAATGCTATTCAAACCATGAATGACATCTGATTTATTCACCTATCTTGATTTTGGTTTTTGGTAGGTTTTATTGATAGTGTACTAAATGTCCTGTGCAATTTGTTTATTGCATTCTGGATACCTCTGAATATGACCCTCCTGTTGTTACCTTTTTGCCTGAGTCAGTAAATGGAGTGCATAATATATTCTTTGATCTGCAGACTTTCTGGTGTGTTTTTTGTGAATGCAATCTTTTTTTCCTTTGCCTCTTTTGCATTTTTAGTTATGTTTACATAAATAGGCAATATGAGGTAAACTTAGCTATTCAGTGAAATGAACATGTTCTGTTAATAACTCCTGAAGAAATAAAATTACCAGATTCTGATAAATTTTTGCTGAGCTGAATTGAATATTTCATTATCCTACAGGGAGTAAACAGAAAAGAGAATGGAAAAAAATTTAACAATTAAGTTATGAATGTGATTTAAATTATACTCTTTTTCCACTCTGTGTTCTTGTAGACTGATATATGCACTATACTATATCTTAACTGTTGTTGAACCTGGCAGAATATGATGTCTAGATCAAATAGGTAACTAAATTCTACCATCTTTAAGCATCTTTGGTACAGATTATTGTCAGCAAAATATAAAATTATGTGCCACTCTTTATCCACTTGTGAAAGCTAGCTAGCAGGCTCTCAAAATGCTCCTTTAGCTCATGTAACATACCTGGTCTCAAAATAACTGGGTGATCATCACACCTGGGCTGTTGGAATTAAGCCTTCAGTGGAGAACCTCACTTGAGACTTGCTTCAGTTGGGTGGATTTAGTTCAAGGGCCTCTATTGTACTTAAGCTGTATATAAAGGTGGAAAGACTGCATCCTTAATAAGGAAGTGTTTTAATTAGTATGTCAAAACCACTTGAGCTTCCAGTAATCCAGTATGGATTGTTAGACAGAACTAAGTTAAAGCAGAAGTATAATTTTTCTTAAAAATCTATTTATTATGGTAGCATTTAGAGACTAGAACCCCATTTTATGAAGTCCATGATGACTGAGGAAGGGCAAAGTTAGTGACATCTCTTGTATTTTCTGGGAGAAATGGGCAGGAATTTTCTCTAAAGCAATAAATAGAACTAACATCTTTCTTTAGAGATCTTTAGCAACAGCCACTGCACGTATTGTAAATATTATAAATTTTTAAAAAATAAACTTTTTATTTTATTATTACACACAACTGATGGTGAAGTGGCTCACTTACTGTCTTTGTTTTATACAGTAGAGTTCTGGTGCCTATAAGCTCCTTTTCAGAAGAGAAATCTTTTTCTAAAGCCCAGTTTTCTTCCATTTTTGTTGCGGTGCCACTCAACTCCCTTAGAGAGGGATCTGAAAGCAGAAGTTTTTGTATCTGTTTGAAAAACACCACCTGTTATCTACCACTAATAATACTTTTTTAACCACAAAGTTGCAGTCTTGAATGTTTCTCAAGAACTTGCCAGAGATGTGTGCAGTGAAATATTTATTCAGATGTTTTAAATTGTCCATTTCTATAATAAGTGAGATAGAGTAAGAATGTTTGAGATGTTTAGTAGGAGCTCAAACTGAAGCTGTATGACTTGACAGAAATGCCATGTGGAAAAATATTTTTTAAAAAAATAGTTTTTTTTGTCTAGTTATTAACACATACTTTCCTAGTATGTCTGTCTCAAGAGCCTAGACTTCATACAGAAATGCAAATCCATTCAGCCTTGAACCAACAAATTACATGTGTTTTAGTACAAGAGGATCCTTCTGGTCTGTTTCCCTAAGGATAGCAAGCTATTTGCCACTTTTCCATTCTCTTGTCTATACTCCCTATCCATTCCAGTTTTAATAGATTGCAAAGGAAGGAGGTCTTCAGGGTCTTTTATGTTCCCATAAATCTTGTTTAAAACAGTGACCAGGTAAAGGGGAGAGATTTCAGTAGTTTTCCAAGAGTAGAAAGGGCAAGGAGAACTTTACCATTTTCCATCTGGTTTGGCAGCAGCTCTGTGGGCAGGCAGTAGGCATGTAGCTGGGGACTGGCACAGCACCCCTCTTATGTGAGACAGAACTGCTAGGGATGTAGCTGGGAGAGGTTTGAATGACTGTTGGAGGTATACAGAGGCAGGCTGTCCTTGAGGTAATGGCCATGATGGATGTGCTGTGAGCAAAGAGATGCTGAGATGGCTATGGTGAGACACACGAGTGATATATTTTTTTTTTTTATATAATCCCTTGATTTTTATTGGCTCTGCTGTTCAAGAACCTGTTATGGTTGAGAAATAACAGGTTCTGTCCATGCTGAAAACAAATCAACTAAGCGTGCTACAGCATAATTAATTTGATTGCATAATGTAATTATACTTTTAAATCCAGGAA